ACTTGGATACTTGAAGCTATACATCGCTCTACGAGGATTGAAGAGTAGCGTGTTCGTTTTCGATAGCCCGATGACAAATTCGTTCTCCTTCCAGTAGACATCCATAGCTAGGTCGTATAGCCGTTTGTTGATGCTAGCAAGTCGAATGAGACGAGCCATGTACACTGAGTGCATCATAGATGTGATGGGTTTGTCAAATACAAGACAATATCCAAGAATTTGCATCAACAGCTCGTTAGATAGGTCCAGGAGTCTCGACTGGACAATCGTGGTTTGCGACACCTCGGTTGCCATTTCGTGAAATTCGATTCGTTTAGGTTGCTGGTGGGCCGCTCTTCGGCTCACAGGGTGAAATAATTACGCCTGAGGGAAAGAGATTAATATATAGTAGAGGGATAGAGACCCCCTTTATGCACTGTGTATATTCACCCAAAGCCTAGACGGACGTCCAATGTGAAAGCTCGTTCAGCGTCAGTAGAGTTGACTTCGTTTCACTCGTACGCAATGAACAACTGCGTAGAACAAATGGGTAGACCCCAAGTCAATCTGACGTCTTTCAGCAAAGTGTCTGTTTGCCTTGACTTCACCGTACCGGGCTCACCTGTGGCCATCCAGATAAATATGTGCTGAATTTGCTCCCTCAGTCTCCCCCAGTCTCTCCGAACAACTACTCACATCAACCACTAAGCAAAACACCACAGCATGAACGGAGACAAAGAAACCAACGCAGGGTCTTTCAAGGATAGTAAGTCTTCCTATTTCATCACCCTCCATCTCGTACGCTAACGAGTTTAGCGAGCGTGTGCCATGAGGCCTCCTCTGCTCCTGCATCTTGGAATAGTTTACCAGAGGAGCTGAAACTGGCGACCCTTGGCCATCGACTCCACATTGATGGTACTCTCACGGCCATAACTCATCCCATCCGTGCAAAAATGGCTAGCTATGAGGCTTTGCTCCTCACCAGCAAAGAGATGAATAGACTAGCCAAGATTTCGTGGGGAGAGAACCAATTCCTCCTCGGTTGGCCGAGCGCTGGCCTACAATACCCGCGACCGCCCACGTCTCTCGCAGAACAGGTTCGGAACTTAACCATCGAGATCTTCGTGGATGGCCGACTAGGTTGGAACAGGACGAATGAAGACCCCAGATTCCCGTACTCATGGAATGTCCTCCTCGACACCGAAAAGAGCTCCAGGCTGCGTCGAACAATACGGAAGGAGCTTAGAGGGAACGGGAATCCGGCCGTCGCCTGGCAGTCAGAGTTTCTCGCCCTGAAGGAGCTCACAGTCGAGATTATATTGGCTTGGGATCTAGATGACTACCACAACCACAGAAACAAGATCGGTAGGATTTGCGGCTGCATGGACAAGGAAAAAATCGAAGAGCACTTCGAAGGCTGTCGTACATATCTCAGCACCCGCAAGCTTACAGTCAAGGTCCGTGGTCTCAGATGCGGAGACTATTCAACCGATGGAGATGCTGGTCCCAACACCAAAGCCTGTCCCAACGGGTGCGCTGAGAAGATTGCGACATGCTTTACGGATCTCGTCGAAATCAAGGATTGAATTGACCGTATGGACGAGAAGGACGATGGTGAGGTCCTTTGGGGACGTTTTTATGGAACGGTAGTCTTGGAAAGAGTTTGTCGACTTAGTAAGCTCAGAGCTCTCGAGGGGAATAGGACAGTTGGCTAGATGTTTCCACGGCCGACTTGGTTCATAGGAAGAAGTTTAGACGGTTAACAGAACAGTACGTTCATGCCACTGCTGCACTCTTAGCTTAGTGCACTGGGCAGCGCCCGTCTTACACGATACATGCTAGCCCTCACTGTCAAATACCACTTTGCTTCTTCCCTGTGTACCTTCATCAACCGCACTTCCAACCTTTCTGACCACTTCTTTGTCGAAAAAGGCAACACCTAGCTCTTGACTTGTGAACCAACTCGCCCGGTCTAGATTCCCGGAGCCTAGGACGAGGACTTCGTCATCTACAATAGTCATCTTGAGATGCGACTGTTGGGGCTCTCCTGCTTCGTTGCCCCTCTTCTTGGGTCCATCGATCGGCTCGAAGTATGATACATGTAGGCGACCGGGCTTGGGAGTCGCCATAGCTGCTTCCTCATCGTTCAAACTGCCACCGTCGTGGGTCAGCTGTTGATAGCGTTTGATGAGCTTCTTGATGCAGCGTGACGTTGTGGTTCCTGCTGTGACCAACTGCTCGAGTATCATGAGACGTTCCGAGGTCAGAATGCGTACGTCGATGCCGCGTGCAAGCGCTCTGAGAATGGCGGACAGGACAGGTGGCGCAGTGACATTTGGCGTCTGAATACGGATGCTTCTCTCAGCCTTTGCGAAGAGTGTGAGTATGAAAACGTTCAGAGGCGTTGGCGGAGCTCGAAGGGTGTCTTGAGCTCCAACGAAACTAAAGCGCGGATTACGACGGTGTGGGCTGGGAAGGAAGACGGTATGTATACTGCGAGCCGACAGTAGTGCAGACGATTTCAGCGCACCGTGAAGCTTTACCACAGCGCTGTCGGGAACGTCGAGACTCGTCGGAACATCCTCTCGCCGCTCCCAGAAAGTCCGATAGAATTTGAGGAACTGTTCGACAACAGGTCCAGTAAGGGTGACGGCACCCTCGAACCATTCTTCCCAGCTGATGTTGCAACTTGGTAATACTGCCGTCTTCCGATCGACGATGATGAACTTGGGATGCATGACACTGAATGGTAATATGAATATGGACTTAATCTCGAGGTCCAGTCCATTGAGCTCAGACGGGTCAGGCAAGCCCAACTTCTTCACCCATGCTGAAGGCGGATACGTCTGTCCTGAAGTGGCCTGCTTGTGAAATAGCTTCTGAAAGACCGAACTGGAAGAAAAGCAAAGTCGAACTCTGATCTTGTCCGTCCCTCTCCTGACAGCCTTGTCGGAGAGTCTTCTCAGAACCTCGTTAAGTGTTTCTAGAGTCGTCGATCTAGCCCAGAAGCAAGTGACCAGAATAAGCTCGCGGCTAGTAGACTCGAGAAGAGGCACTAATGAGTCGTAAATTGCAGATCCAGTTCCAGTCATGAAAGTGTCGAGATTAGAGGTGGTGATCAGGGACCGCGGATAGCGGGCATAGTAGCTTGGGTCATCGTTCGCATTGGCCGGCGCCGCAGCATCAAGGGCTGAGATGAAGGGCTCGTTGAAGCTGGACACGACAGGGGATGGTGTTGTCGGTGCCATAGTCCTTGTATGCGAGATCCTCGTTCAGAGCAGCGATGCAGCAGTGATGGAGAGGGAGTGGTAGCGAGATTCGACTGTTGATGGATGACGTCGGGTCGGACCTGTCGCGACTGCCATGAGGTAGACGCGTCAAGACTAGGCCCCATCCGGAAAGCTCGGCAGGGATCATTGGGGAAGCTTTAATCCCCGCCAAAATTTCGGAAGCTCTTCGCAGTAGACAACATCATCAACACCCCCGCGGTATCACACGAACGCAGCCTCGACTAGCTTAAAACGATTGGCTGTAACCGGATCCATCGATCATATACCTCACACTCTCGAAACAGAACGCGCCGTCCACACAGGCGCATATTCACCATGCCAATCTCCATCCTCCCACCCAGCGCACCTCTCCCACCACGGCGCGATGCGAACGACGAATACGACGACTCCGATGTGGAAATGGAAGACGATGACTTCGCGACTTCTGGCTCAAAATCGATAGTAACGCCCGGCGAACACATAACCTCAGACCCTCAATGGATGCGCGGCCACGGCACCTACATCCCAAGTCTTCCTCCCTCCTCCACAACGATAATATCGACCGTCGCCGGTACCCTGCACAAGACCAATAAACTGCTTTCCGTACAACCGCTGCGCGCTCGATACCAACCCGAGATTGGCGACTTGGTCGTAGGACGCATAATGACAGTCGGAACGAAGAAGTGGAACGTGGACATCGCAGCGCCAATGCACGCAAACCTGCCTTTGTCGAGTATAAACTTGCCCGGTGGAGTGTTGCGACGCAGAACGACAGTAGACGAACTGAACATCCGGACATTCTTTCAAGAAGGCGACTTGCTCGTCGCCGAAGTGCAGAGTCTGCACCAAGACGGCACAGCATCCCTCCACACGCGATCGCTCAAATACGGAAAACTGCGGAATGGCTTGTTTACCAGTCTAAGTGGCGCAGGCGGTGGCATACTGAGTCGCAAGGGTGGTGTAGTGAGGAGTAGGCGGCAAGTGTTCACGCTGAACACCGCGGCAGGGGAAGTCGACATCGTACTTGGTGTCAACGGATACATTTTCATCAGCAAACACATCGCGACGAATTCGGACCCGAAAGAGGTGGGTATCAACAGGCTGGACGAAAGCGTGACCGAGACGCTGTATTCCAGCCAGAACGACGAGATCGAGCCAGCTGTTATGCGGGAGATTACTAGGGTCAGCACATTAATCAGGGGATTAGTAGCGTGTGGCGCGAAGGTGGATGAGGACATGATCGTCAAGGTATATGACGGCGCGGTTGAGCTTGAGGCAGAAGAGCAAAGTCTAGGTGGTGTGGAGAGGGGCATTGGCGCCAAAGGTGTCGTGGAAGCCGTGCTTGGACGTATGGAGGTGGAGGCCGCCGGCTGAGGATAGACGAAGTTCGAAGCATCCACAAATATTCAAAAGTAAAAGACATGGGCATGTCATGCCGCTCAAGCATCGGATCTATGCGTCCTGACGGGTTGTACTCGCCGAGTCGCTAACGAGCAGCTGCAGCAATCATTACGCTGTAACATGTAGTCACTTGCCAGAAGTGTTCTAGCAACAGCACTCACGGAGCGCACACAGATCGCGCACGCCGAACAGAATTGTAAAGATAGTCAATCATACATTACTCATTGTGCAGTGAACACATAATACCCCATCTAAAATCGTATATGTAAAACATCGGCCCTGTATAAAGCGAGCGGAGAGAAAAAGTCTCGACATGAACAAAACTCCGAAAGTCGGTAGGCACACTGCCAATCACCCTTCCATGACCAGCAGACCCTCCCTCTCCAACCTCCTCAGACTGTCAATATCACCACCGGCCTCTATAACAGCCTTCATAGCCGCTCGACTAAGCTTCCTGCGCTTATCGGCGGCTTCCTTCTCTCGTCGTGCCTTTGTCTTGCTGGAACCGCTGGGTGCGACACCTGTGAGGATTTTGCGGCTGTCGTCTGGCGTGAAGTTGACGAAGCCAACACCGCCATTATTTACGCTCGTCTGCCGTGAGGACTGTTGGGAAGAATGGCTAGACTTGCGTCTTGACGATTGGCTAGAGCGATGATGACTTGATGACTTAGAACGATGGAAGCGGGGTTCGACGCGTGGTGAGGGAGAGCGGGAGACTGGTTGACTGGTGGACGGCACTTGAGGTTGCGCATAATGGTGTGATGGTCTGTTGTACATGGCACCATAGCTAGCCATATCGAACGAGGCTGAGGCTCTGGGGGCCGAATAGCTCTCGTTCAGAGCGCCGAAGTCGAATGCGGCTGAGTCGTAAGAGATCCCTAGTCCTTCTAGTCTCACATTGTGGCTCGTAGATTGTAGATTGCTTTGACTAAAGCTGGTGGAATATGGCGGCTGAACGGTGGGATCGTTTTCATTCCACCAACCTGGTGTCTCAAGGCTATTACTAGCGTCGCACGAGGCTGAGAAACTAAGATCGAGGGCTGGCGAGGTGCCAGAGCCCCATGTTGTCACGGGTAACTGGAGAGAGGAAGGCGGGGTCTGCAAGGCTGAGAGAGCCGCACTTGATGTGCTAGCAGAGCAATAGGCGAGTCCCATGTTAGCGTTGAAGCCGCTGTCAGAATTGCTAGAATTTCCCATTGCTGGCGATGCAGATGGAGTCAACTGGTAGTTCGTATAGTTTGACCTGTCGCTGGGCAGGCTCGAATAATCGTTAGTGTAAGTCTGATGGTGATTATGGGCAACACCGCCATTGCTGCGCTCTTGCTGATCCAGATTGGAAGAAAGCGGGGGCGAAGCGATACCATGTGACGAGGCTCTCGCGAAAGATTCTGTCGGGCTGTTCGTCTTGCGAGTCCACGCATGAGCGATGGACGATTGGAAATGAGATGATTGCATCGTCTTGGCCGAGACTGAAGGATGTGGTCTCTTGGTAGACTTGGTAATGCCGCGATACTTCGGTTGACCGTGAGAGGAAAGAGTCTTTTTGACAGATCGTCCAGAAGGGTGGGGTCGAGATGTAGGAGGCTGAGAGGTGGACCTTGAGTGATTTCTCTCCAGCTCAAAGAGACCTTCGAAGTTTAACAACTCTGAGTCGCTACGAGAATCAATGCCGGAAGATGATGCAACATAGAAAGAGGAGGCAGGATCATCAGATCGAAACGAGGTTGCGTTTTGTGCGTACTTTTCGAGAGCCTTGTGCCAAGCAGCTTGTGTTTCCCGATCGAGTATAGGCTCAGGACCAAAGCATTCGCTTCCATTTGACAAAGACGGTTCGAAATGATGCGTTGTGTTATCTGAAGTGGATTGCTTAGGCGTGCGGTCATTGAAATGATGGAGTAAATCTGTCTCGACATATTGTTCGAATAAGCGGTCCAGGTCGACTGCTTCGACCTCTTTGTCGCTGGTCGGCCGTATTGGCATAGTGTCGGTAGAGTGTCGATGTTATAGCGATGAAAGGAAGTAGGTTTGCAGCGTATTTGGTTATGTTGACCGACAATGGATAGGCGAGCGAGTGACGTTGAAGGATGTAGCAGAATTGGTGGCGAGTAAAGGCGATAAGTAACACGGTACTTGTACCTGACTGATGGATACGCTGTGATGGTTACAGGCCTGCACGAACTACTTCTGTAACGTGCCAATGATGCACCGTAACAAACATGCTAGACAAACCTAGACTAGAGAGACTTAATTTTGCATCCAAATATGGCAAAATACCTTACCAGCCATTTCCTACTCGGTGTACATTCCAGCTATACTTAGCGTAGTAGGTCGAATTGGGTTGACCCGGGGTTGGCATGGGGGGACCAAGCCCCAACCCTTTGGTTTCAGGTAGCTTTGAGGCGTTCGCACCGCCCGTGCCTCACAACCTCTCGAGCCCGCGACTAGGGTAATTGAACATGTCGTAATGATGGTAGGTACGTGCCCATGCAGCCACATACCAGCCGTTGGGTATTCTCCCTAGGTACGTTGCCCATGCCGCAGGTACCCGTAATACGACAATCGGGTTGTAGATGACGTTCTTTGTTGTAATGTCTTTGTGTATACAGAAGCTCGACCTGCATATGAGTGAGAGGTAGCGACCTGAGGGTTGTTTCAGAGGTAGAAGTCGGAGGGGTGCCTGAGCAACTTCATGAGGGCCACAGCTCAGATTGTGTAGACACCACGTGGATTACGATATCTTCAATGCGACAAGACGGTCTCGCCTGTTCAGTTACCGAAAGCCTGGTATCCGGCAAAGACAGATGCCGCAGACAGTTTCGAATCGGCGATTTCGAATTAGGTCTGCAGATTCTAAAGAGTGGATCGATGGCCAAAAACAGATGCAGGAACGGGGATTTCCAATCGGCCAGGATGTAGCTAGTGCAGGAACCAGGGCCGTGGATCAAAGGCAGTTGAGCGTAACAACGTGAGATCTGCAGCACGGTCAATCTGATGTGCACTCCGGGGCGTGCACGTTGGGGGAGCCGCAAGGACTCAGTATGGGTGGACCTTCCAACTTCACGAGGTTTAGAAACAATTTGAAACTGTATCTTAGGATCGAGATGATAGTGTTTCGATGTGCGACAAGACTGCCAGGCCTCGCTTTTGTTCTCACCAAATTGTGACGGCATTGTCTCCAGTCTCTTGTGTGTGGTTTGATCCTGGGCACATGGCCAATGCAGAGACTCGTCATCCTATTTCGAATCGGACTGCGCTTTTTGAGTGACTGATCGGCGTCGGTTGCCACAAACCTGATGGAGGAGGTGATGGCAGAAAGTACACGTTCACGATGGCAGCGTGGTGTTGAGGCTTGCCCAGGCGCGCACGGGCGGTTTAGCGCGTCGTACGAACAGCTGTGGGTCAGCCCCGGACATGGGCAGCTCGCGAGTCTCTGGAGTGACGACTGTACTAGCACAGCACCGACGAGATCGACGCTCCTCTTGTCGTGTTTGCTGTTGCAATTCTCTTGCCTACCTCTGTATCCTACACCAGCGCCATGGATCCCGATGCGCCCGTGGCCAATGAGCCGGAGCCAGGAGTCTTCCGTTGGATCATGGGCTTCCTTCTGGTCGGCGCATGCTGGGGGCTTACAACACCGTTCATGCGCAAAGCTGCCATGTGAGTCTCAAGCTCCGTCATATACCATATTCTGCCTGTCGTGGTCCATTCCAGAACGCGTCCAGAGCTAACTTGTATTCGCCAGGAACTACACGCCGCCCCAACGCCCCGCCCTCACCGATCCGAACAACTCCTGGCTGAAGAAGAAAGTCTTGGGCGTACTCTACGCCGTAATTGGCGTCTTGAGCAGGCCAGCGTATGCGATACCGCTGTTGTTGAACGTTACCGGCAGTGTGTGGTTCTTCATATTGATAGGCAAGGCGGAATTGAGCCTCACGGTGCCAATCACCAACAGTCTTGCGTTCCTGTTCACCGTGTTGGGAGAGTGGTGGGCAGAGAAGAAGGTCATCAGTCGGGGTACGTTGTATGGCCGTGTATGCACGACGAATGTGGGCTAACACCAAACAGACACCTGGATAGGCATGGCCTTTGTACTCGGCGGGATCGGATTATGCGTCCAGAGCAAATCTTGATCAATCTACCTAGAATTCTACATGGTCGTTACCAGTCCCTCGCGAGCCTGTTGTTCGTATCCGTCCCGTTCGCTGCTGTTACTCCCTTGGACAATCTCGAAAACCCTTGTTCTGGTGGCTGCAACCAGTTCCTCTCGTCGTACTTCTCCTCGCCCTCAATGACGTGGAACGTGTAGATGTTGCGGCTCTTGCTGCTCGTATTCTTTTCCGACTTGTGGAGTATGTTACCATGGATGAGTACTAGAGTCCCGGCCTTGACCTCACCCATGTCGTATCTTTCCTCCTTCTCCACCATCTCGTACTCCTTCTCGCCGTTTGTTTCCTGCTTCAAGCTTTTTGGAAATCTGGCGCCCTCATTGTCGATGAAGCCCGTGCCGTTGCCTGTTCTTACAAACCTCTTCTCAATGGCAGCACGCTTATGACTCCCAGCAGCGAAGCTCAGACAACCATTCTCCTGTGTCGCATCCTCGAGCGCATACCACCATCCAACCGCGCTTGGCGGATCCGTGTACAAAAAGGTGCTATCTTGGTGTGGTGGTACTGCGCCGCCTATCTCTGGCTGTTTGCAGATGACCATGGATTGCAGGACACGAGGGTCGCGGAAGCCGAGGGAGGAGGCAATGGCGGTATTGCGGGCGGACAGGGACATGCTGCGGAAGGAGGGTGAAAGCTCGTGGAGGTAGTGCCCGATTTTGTTGATGGCGCGGTGTTTGGGTTTTGTCAGCGAGCCAGACTTGTCGAAGGCGTCTGCTCAGATGTCAGTGCATTGTCTTGAGTTTCCGAACGCGCTACGTACCCTCTTCAAAGAAGAACCGCACCTTATCGCCGGATTCTAGGAAGTAGCTGTCTCCAACGTGATCGGCGCCGTCATCGCCACCAGTCGAGAACTTGGTCATAGGATGGTCGTCGAGTGAGAAGTCGTTGAGCATCTTATTCGTGTCTTCCACCAACTGCTTGACCGTATCTTGCGACAGAGCATCCGGTATCAGTAGGTAGCCGTTCTCATTGAAGAAAGCGAGCTGCTCGGGCGTGAGCCCTTCGGCGGTTTGCGCAGTCATGGCCGGATGAAGAACTAGAATACGGATACACTGTGGTATGAAGGATTTTGCAACGACAGCTATGTACAAGTGACTGTTCCCCAGCTATCGCGTGCAGGCCGTGGATAAGCGTCGGAGTTGGCCGTAGCCTGGCGCGATGCCATGTGCTGCCCCGCTATCGTCCCGCGTTGTCGGGCTTAATTCCGCTCAGAACCAAGCCAGCCAGCCTAATACCAAACGCGTCGCGATGTGAGCAGTCCTCGACCCATCCATCGCCCCCATCCGCGGCCCCCATAAACGATACCCACCACTAGCCATCAAAGATCCGAGCATCTGGTCACAGGTCCTCCAACCCGCAGTGCCACGAAACGATAGCTCGTCCTGCTGGCTCATCCCCAGCAATAAAGAGGCACGACCGGGCCCTGGCTTCAATACCACGCGACTTATACCCACGCTAACGACAACTGTGGTCACATCGCAATCCCGAAAGACAGGAGACGAGCACACCGAGATGCAGGGAGATGAAATGTCGGGTCGTGTAACTCCAGAATAGCTCACCCAGGCAGCAACGACGCCATGACCTCG